GCGCTGATCAGCAGCACTGGCAGCGACATTGGCGGCGCGCGGAGCAGGAGCAGCCTGAGCAGCAGCGCGAGGAGGAGCGCGGTTCCGCGCCACCGGACTGGGCGCGCGGCGGCCGCCAGGGCGGTTGGGTCGCGCTCGACGACCTGAGCAGGCGACTCTCGCAGCTGGCTGTGAGCGACAGCGAGAGGGATGAGGCGTGCTGGCCCGCGCGCGCACGGGGGGCGTGAAGCGGCCGCGGCGCCGGCAATTGCTGGTTGCCGGCGAGGCGGCAGCCTGACTCCAGGCGCCTGCTGCGCAGTGCGGCTTCGGTCGCACTTCCCAGCTGGGAGCAGCCGCGGACTCCTGGCTGCTGGCAGCTGCCGTGGCGGTGCGCCAGACGCGTGTATCTCATCTGCCGTGATGTACATTTGGAGCCGTATGTATTAATAATTTGATGGCTGCCGAATGGCTGGGCAGGCGGTGGGCCCTGGTCCTTCAACCAGGGGGCCTGTCACCCTGACTGCTGGGCCACGGTTGAAAGGGCTACTCTTCCGCCTGGCCGCTCGCCGTTTTCAAAGTGCTCTACCTGCTGGCATGTTTGCTGCGGCAGGGCGCAAGGCCCAAACTTGTCCAAGGGGCCCCGTTCAGCGTCGTTTCGTGTGTGGTACGAGCCCCTGCACTGCAGCAGAGCAGCAACGATTGCCTGAGCAGTCACAGTGCGGACCAACTTCGGCCTGATACTATAACAAATTGTTCTTACCCGCGTTCGCACACCCACATGCTTGAATGGACTGTATTGCTGTTTATCCAGCTTCCTGTGATGAGTGTGAGCTTTTTGAGCTTTTTGTCAACAGCACCCTCAGAGCTTGTCATACATTAAGTGAAATTGACTTTGTTGCGGTGCAAACCAAAAGAGCCCTGAACAGTCCCTGCATCTCTCTTGGTTGGTTGGGGTGCAGCTGCGCCCTGACCTTGCGCGCACCATCAGCAGGATGCACCAGGGGGTTGGTGCACAAGTCCCAGATGACCCTCCCACCCACAGCTTCGAACAATGACATCATGCTGCTGCATTGTGTGGCCTGCGTCACATCGGGAGTGCCTCCGCTCCATCCTTACAGTGACGTCATGTGTGACTGACCGCAACTCAGCTGGCGCAGGGGTGCTTGTGGCTGGAGTGCCCCATTCCGATGGGAGTGTGTGCAAGTAAGGCAAGGCGTCGCGCGGCGTTGACGAAAGTGCGTTCTATGCAGGGCGTCGCGGGTGCAGCGGGGCTGGAGGGACCCGGCGCGCCGTGGGGCGTGCTCGCGCGCGTGCATGTGCGGGGCGGCCGGCCGCCTGTTGAGAGGCCCCCAAGCGAAGGCCGCCAGCAGCAGGAGCAGTGTCAATGCAGAGTTGCGGATCACCTCCAAACCAACACACGCCTTTGGTAAGCGCCAGCCTGCCCGCCGTAAAAGTGAGGATCAAGGGAAAGACGAGACGCGCAGCAAAACAGGAAAAGTGAGAGAAAGCGGCCTTGATGGGGCCCAGGCGCGGCGCCCGGCCATGCACGGACGACAGTGCGCCAGCGTCGGTGTGCCAACCCCACGCGTACACCGGCTCGGAAGCCTCGCCGCCGCTGCCGAGTGGCACGCCTCAGCCCGGCGCTGCGGCTTGCTGTCAAGGGGGGAGCTCACGACGCTGTGCCCGACACCCTCTGCGCCTTGAGGTCGCGCAGGCTGGGCTGGGGGCCCGCCTCAGACACCTTGGGCCTTTTGGGGTGGAGGGGAGGGGAGGGGTGCGGGACGGCAGCAGAAAGCGTGAGCAGGAGAGAGTTTGAGCAGGCGCGCGGGGGAAAAGTACGGGGAGGCGGCGCCGCCAGGGGCGCTGCGAGGGGCGCTGCTAGTGCCGGGGGCGCGACGGCCCAAAGTCAACCGCCCTGGGGCCGCACGCGGCCGCCTGCACTGGCACAACCTGCCAGCCCCGCGGCAGCCCCTGCCGCCCCTCGTCCGTCAGCTCCCCGCCTTTGAACCCCCAAGAAAACACACGTCCGGCCCGCCTTGTGCTAAAAACCGCTGCAAACCCCGGCCCCGGCTCACTTGGGCCGCGCCCCCAGCAGCTCGTCGGTGAGCTCGTTCAGCGGGTCGTTCTCCAACCGCTGCCCAACAAACGCGCCGCCCGCGCTGGCGCCGGCGCCGCCCTCGTTGAAGGGGTTGAAGGGGTTCGACGACGCCGCGGGGGCGGCGGGCGGGGCGCCGTAGGGGGGGACGCCGTAGGCGCCGCCGCCCATCATGAAGGGGTTCATTCCCATGGGGCCTGAAGGGATGGGTAATGAACCAGGGGGGGCGGGGGTGAGAAGCTGGTGCAGTAGAATGGAAGCTGGACAGCCCTTCCAACGAGGCGGGGCCGCCATGTCACGCGCTAGCGGTCCCGCCTGGCCTATTGGCCATCGGCATAAGCGCACGTCCTGCCCCTGCCCGCTCACCAACAGGCACGAGCGCCATGCTGCCCGGCGCCCCGGTCATCTGCGGGGTATAGCCATAGCCCGTCATCTGCGGCGCGTAGCCATAACCTGTCATCTGCGGGGCGTACCCCGTCATCTGTGGGGCGTAACCGGGGTACCCGTACGGCCCGGGCGGCGGGACGCCACCAGCTGCCGGGTCGTAGCCGTACTGCTGCTGCTGCGGATACTGCTGCTGCTGCTGCTGTTGCTGCTGCTGCTGCTGGCCGCCGTTCTCGAAAGCCCCAGGCTCAAAGCCGTTGGCGCCCGCGGGGGCGGCCCCGTTGCTGCCCATGCCGTCCGCCAAAAAGTCCAGCTCCCCCTTCGGCTGCGGCGGGGGCTCCGGCGGGTTGACGACGGCTGGGGAGGGGGGGGGG